CATATTTTAGATCACGCCACTACCAGCTTTCAACTAAAGATAAAGGAGGCTATCCATATTCAAAAAGAACTACCTTGCCTCAATCAGCAATTACACCATGTGAATCTAAAATTACCCTTTTAATTTACACCTTTTCACATTCTTTTGTTACTATTTGTCTTAATTAGCATTTTTGTTTACTTATTATTCAATTTGCTTTGTAATCATTCAACTGAAGATGACAGAAGTTCTGTCGAAACATGTCTTGTAAACTTAAAAAATTGGTCGTTTTCCTTAAAATATTTATAGCAGAATTTATAAAGCGGGCGAATGGTTCAACGAGCATCGCAGGAAAATTAGAGAGATTTAGACATATCGAACTCCAAACATTTCTGACTAAATAAGGCACCTATTTGTATTACTAAAAGCCGCGACAGGTGTTTTAAAAGATACCGATAATTACTGTTTTTCGTCTTCCTCAAAAAAACTTGTAGACATTGTAGATAGAAGACTGTGTTGAATTAACAACTGATAATCATGAGAAACTATATTATTTACTAACTTTAGAAGGACCCCTGCTAACTAACACTCACTGTTACATGAGGGCACGAGGAAAAAAAAACAGGACAACAGTCCATCGAAGTCAACACAGCACTTACTCCCCAAGTCTTTTCTCAAACACAACCCATAATAGTCTACATTGGGGTCCAATCTCCTAACACCTTTCCCCAGTAAAATTTTACGTTAAACCAGTCTAAAGAGAGTGTCGTGCAGGTACTTTTACTAAGCGTCCCGAACGTGTTCGTTTGGCCGTGATAGTGACATCTTATTTGTAGGTTTGGCTGTCTTGGTAGTCTTTGGTCTCTGTTGTGTGGAACTGAGGTGACATGTTTGGGGCGTTGTCTTGCTTATCTGGCATCAGGTGAACATGATTTCTTCTAAGTACTTTGCCATCTACTTTTACATCATAGAACCGGTATCCGCGACTCTTTACGACGCTACCTCTCCTCCACTCTTGTCCTTTCGCTAATCCGTCAGGCTTGATTCTTACCGT